CCGGGCTGGGCTCCCGCCAGGGCCACCGCCGCCCCCGGGCTGAGGGCCAGCCCCCCGGCGGGGACGGGGCTTCTCGGAGTAGAGGGGAGCAGCATCCCTGAGCGCTGGCGGCCAGGGCCCTTCCCCGCGCTCCCCAGACACCAGCCGGGTGGAACTGCAGCGGGGGGGGGGGAGGACGGGCGCTGGGACCCGCAGGGATGGCTCCGGTGGCCTGAGCCATCCTTTCGTTCCCGTGCCCACGTGCCGCAGGGGTTCGCGCTGGGACATAAACCCACATCTGGGACCCCGTCTGCGCCATCCCCGGCCCCTGCGGGGCAGTTTCCTCCGGGTCCTCAGTGGGCCGATGACTCCAGTCCCTCTTCTGTGAAATGACCTTCCTCCCCGCAGAAAACCACCGTCCCAGCATGAAGTTCGCGGCACTTCTCAGGTTTTACAGTTCCTCGCTAAAGTAACGCGCTCAGCAAACCCAGCCCCAGCTCATGGGCTGCGTCCCTCGGCGGGCTCCGGCCACCTGCGCTGCAAATGGTGTCTCCAGCAGCCCTGAGAACCCCCAAAACGGGCACGAGCTGAGCAGACACCCCCATTGCGGGGAGAGGCGGGATCGTGGGAGAAGTGACCCGCACCCAGCGGCTCTGGGCTGAGCAGCAGAGCTGGAGCGGGACACGTCGCCCTTCCCACCGCCCGCGCTCCCTCCCCGTGGCCTCCTGCTGGGAGAGGGGGGACCCCTCTGCGCCGGAGCAGCGGGTCCTGTGCAAAACCAGTGACCCCAAGGTGGGGACTTCCCAGTTTCAGCAGCGTATGTGTCTGAAAGGGGAACACGGCCCGGGGTTGCAGCGTCTTGAGGCCCCGTGGCTGTGGCCGTGCCTGCTCTGTGGGGGGACTCCGGGAGTGGGGGTGCGACCCGCAGGGAGGTGGCAGGTCTGGCTGCTGGGGACAGCGGGGTTGGGTGCCCCCAGCGTGGCCAAGCCACCCTGCAGCCCTCCGGGCTGGTTGGCCTCGGGCTGGAGGGGCAGAGCAGGAGCAGCCAGAGCGAGCGCTGGAGGAGGAGGAGGAGGGGTGGTGCTGGGGAGGCAGCTGGCACCCCGCTGCAGGGCCTGTCTGCACGAAAGGAGGGACCCCTTGGGATGCACCTGGCTGTCACCCACTGGGCTGGACCACAGTGGTGGGGACAGGCAAGGGACAGCCTCTGTGTGGTTCCTCCTCCAGCTTGGCCATCTCCTGGCATGGATCTCATCTCCCTGAGAAGCTCCTCCTGGGGGTTGAGGACAGCCAGGAGCCACAGCCGTGTGTCCTGCTGGGCACAGGACAGGGCCTGGGGACCCACTGGGGACCCACTGGGGACCTGCATGCCTGAAACAGTGGGGACACACATGCTGGAATGGCGATGATGCAGCTGTGACCAAACCCCGGAGCTGACTGCTGCACGCCAGGATCAAAGCAAATTTCACTACGTGGGGGAAAAGAAAAAGTATACCTGGGATATACATGAAAGGATGGCTCTCTTCCAAGCCTTAATTAGGGAGGGAGATATCTGATTGAGGAATTAGGGGAACTGTGCTGTGCCCCAAGGTGCCGTCAGCAGAGCACCAGGCTCCTGCTCCTCCCCAGTGCTGCGCCAGGAGGACCACAGCCTAATCTTGCCCTTGGATCTGCTCTTGGAGACCAAATAACAGGATGTTTGGCTTACTCTGGGCTCTGCTCCTTTGGTGTCTGCTGCTTAGAGAACTTCTACTTGACTCTTTGCTGGCTGGACCTTGGCTCCGAGCCGTGATGTTTACTCTCTGTAGAATTTTCCTCTGGCTGTGAGCAGAGCCAAGCTGGTCCCATGGTATTTCTCTGTTTTCCCCTGCAGATATTGCCCTTGGCTCCTGGCTTGCCTTCAGGGGTGTATCTTTGCAAGTGTTATTGCAAAATAAACCTGACCGTCCTCTCCACAGCCATTCCACAGTTCACACCGTTTCACCCACTGGCAAACAGGAGGTGCGGCAGCACCCAGACATCACCTGCCTCGTGGTGCGTGGCTGCAAAGAGGGGGGCCTGCTGCCACAGAGAGCCCCAGGGCTGCATCATCCCCTCCAGCCAGCCCGGCTGCCCGCCCGTAGCCCTTCCTTGGGGCTGGCAGCCGGGCTCAGGTGCCAGGAGGAGGATCGCTGAGCCCCACGTGGTGTGCAGCTGCGGCCCTGGCACGCTGCTTTTGCTCATGGTGCCGCCCAGAAGTGGTTGCAGATGACAATCTGGCTGCACTGCCTGTGCTATGAACAGCTCGTGGGCCCGAGGAAACCTCCCTGAATCAGAAAAACAAGTGCGTGAGCCTTTCATCATCTTCAAAGCCTGCGGCCGCAGAGCCATGTCCCATCAAGCAAGTCTGCTCCAGCCCGGCTGTGATTCACCCCAGGTTGCTTTGGCTGTGGTTCGCAGAGCGGATGTTGTCCCCGCAATCTGGCATTTTTCAGCAGTGATGGAGCGTGTTCACCAGCTCTGCCGTCACGGAGGGGGCTGCGCTCCAGCGCGGAGGCTGGCAGCAGCTTTCCCCACACCTGGAGCCATCCCGGCGCAGGATTCCTGGCCGGGGTGGGGAGAGGCAGGGAGCCACGGCGGGAGGGAGGCTCCGAAAGGACATGAGGGGGCTGCTGTCGCGGGCCAGGACACGCTCCGTCCCCCTCCTGTCCTTTTGGCTGGAACATGCCGGTCCCACCCCACCTCCGAGACCCCGCGGCGCTGACACCGCCGTGAACCTGGCCGGCGTGGTGCCAAACCCGCCGTGGAGGAGTGCTCAGCCACAACACGCCATCGAGCCCTGCGCCGGGACGTCCCCGGCAAAGTAGTGAACTTCTCCTGGCTCCCCTCGTCAGCTGGAGGAATGGGGCAGGACACGACCTGCCGGCATGGAGCATCCTCCCAGCCCCGGGTTGTGGTGCCCACAGGCATCCCCACATCCCCCTGGGTTGCACCAGGCACGGCACGGGGCTGCATTTTTAGTTGCTTGCAAAGTTTGCAGCAGAGTTGAGTGTAGAGCTACTGATGCAGGAATAGCCCGGAGGATGCACCGGCTGCGCTGCAACACGGCTCCCTTTGCAAAAGTTCCCCTCTTGCAAAAAACCGAACGGGTGGTCTGACCTTAATTTGTCTGAGATAAATGAGAACCTGCCTGATGCCTCATCTGGATACATGAAAAGATGTGAGATGAAAGGGAGGCTGATGGAAGGGCCAGGAGCTGAACGCGTCTTTGCAAGCCGGCCCCCGTGACTAGAGGGATTTGGGGACACCGGGCTGAGTGCAGCCGGGGCAGAGCTGCTGGCCAAGCCCTGGGCTCCTGGGCAGCCCCTGCCCTGCCCCGAGCATGTGGCTGCCTGGGAGACTGAGCAACTTTGCAAAATTAGCCTTATTTTTCAAAGATGTTAATTTTTAGCTGTAATTTCCTATGGAAAAAATGTGGTTTCTATTCTGCATGCCTGTCACTCCACCCCAGCATTGGAACCTGTTCCCGAATTCCAGAAGAATCTGAACCAGGTCCGGCGGGGGCCTGATGAGCTCATGGAGCACACGGAGCAGTCGATGGATGCGGGAGACCTTCCTTCCTCAGCCACGCCACCGGGCACACCGGGAACGGCTCTCGGTCCCTTCCGGTGCTGAGGCCATGCTGCCTGTCCCCATCCCCGCAGGCGGTGGCACTGGAGCCGAGCGCTGTGTGTCTGTGACACCCCTGTCCCCAGGCGCCGCGTCCCGGTGGGGCTGGTGACCGCCGTCCTGCAGATGCACCCCCAAATCCTCAGCCAGGGGCGTTCCAGGAGGTCTTGTCTCTTGGTGCTTTTAGTCTCCTGGCACAAAGGCTCCATCCTGGGTCTGTGGGGACTGACCCAGCTCCGTGAGGCTTCTGGGAGGCAGCTGGGGCAGAGGACATCTGAATTTTCACCCTGGTCCCTGGGCTAACAAAAGGCAGAGGGGTCTCTGGCCGCCCCGGCTCTCGGTTCTCTTTCTCCCCAGTGTTTTGCTGCTCATGGAGGGGCTGTGAATAGTGGTTACAAGGTGCCCGGATCGGAGGGGTTTGGTGCGGATGGGTGCCTCGCACCGCCCCAGCGCCGGGAGCTGCTTTATGCCGCGGGGGTCCCCCTGTGTCCCGCGGGGGTCCCCCTGTGTCCCGTGGGATCCCGCTGCCGGGGGGCGGGCGGGAAGGGCCCTTATCTCGCGCCTGCAGGCTGGGGCACGAGGGTGGTGGAGGAAGGGGCCAGGCGGGAGTGAGCTCAGCCATCGGCCCTTTTCATCCGCTCGGGGCTGCGAGGGCGGAGGAGCGGCGTGCCAAAGCAAACTTCAGCCCCGACAATTGCCGTTATTATTAACACCGGTGCTGTGTTTGCGCTGCTTTATCCTGCGCTGGCACTCCTGGGGCACAGCAGCCCCTGGGCACAAGGCTACAGCCCCGGCCGTGCAGGAGACCACCGTGACGTGGCCCCGTGGTGGCACAGGGCACCAGGCAGGGCATGGCCCTGGCAGCAACAGCCGTCAGTGCGTGGCTGCGGGTGCAGATGGTTCTGTTGGCAATCCCGGGTGTTTCAGACAAAGCTGATGTCACAAGGAAGGAGGGACAGTGCTGAAGTGATGCTCTGGCCCAAAATACATCACCAGGGAGGTAAAAGCTGAGCCATAATATCTACTGCAGGCCTGATACTGCAATGACCAGGGCAGTGCTCAGCTCCTGCAGCATGTCGTTGACACCAGACTGTGGGACTGGGCTCACGGAGGTGGCTGGCATCAAAGCACCTTGTCTCAGGGGAACCCCCGGGGTGCAAACCCCTGAGTCGGACCTGGCTCGGCTGTGTCTTGGGCAGCGTCACCCCATGAGGAGCCAGGAGCCAGCGGTCACGGTGACGCTGTGGTGGTGATGTCTCTCTCTCTCCCCACAGTGAATCCCTGTTGCTATTTCCCCTGCCAGCACCAAGGGGTGTGTGTGAGGGTCGGCCTGGGAGGATACGAGTGTGACTGTACGCGCACGGGATACTTCGGGGCCAACTGCACCTCCCGTAAGTCCCTCCGGCCTGCAGGACCGCTGGCACCCGTGGGTCCTGGTGCGGGGCGCTGCGCCTGCAGCACGTGCTCTCTCCAGCAGTGACAGCGCGGGTGGGCCGGGGTCGTTAGCAAACTTCGTTAGCGGGACGAGCAATTTACTTGGTCTGTCTCCCCCAGCCGAGCTCTGGACGCGCCTCCACAACCTGCTGAAGCCCAGTCCTGCCTTCTACCACTTCGTCCTGACCCACTTCAAGTGGTTTTGGGACATCATCAACAGCACCTTCATCAGGGACACGCTCATGAGGCTTGTGCTCACAGGTGAGGGGTTGGAGCGGGTCTCGGGGTGCAGCAGGGCTTTGGGACTCCCCCCAGGCATCAGCAGAGGGGCAGGCAGCTTGGCTGCAGCGATGCTGAGCAGCTCCCATGGGCGTGGTGGGCACCAGGCTTGAGCCACCTCACTGGGAGGTTTGTCACCCCCTCACCCCACCACCCTGCCCGGAGGAGGCTGCCAGCCAGATGGAAGAGCAGCTCCCAGCACACTGCGCTCCCTGGGCCAAAGGGCTCTGAAGCAGTCACACGGAAAGCAGCCTGGGGAAATATGGCCCCTGTTACTCATGTCCCTGTATTCACCTCTTTACATAAATATTTAGGTTCCAGCCCTTGGAGCCATAGCGACATGTTCACAAGGCTCTGGCTGTTGGTGTTACCATTTCTGTGTGGTTGCCATCTCATTCATCATCCAAGAATCCATTAGTGCACTAGGATGATCCTTCTGCGGGGAATTGCAGCCTTTAAAAGGCTCAGAGCAAAGCTGGGACACCCTCGTGCCTCCGCTGCCGGCCCCTTTCTGGTTTTTGGAGTGTCAGGGGAGGACATCTGGCAGCACTGAGCGGGTGGGCAGGGGCTGGGGGAAGAGCCTGTGGGGTGCTGCCCCATGCCCTGGGCCCCACCGTGGTGACCCCCCGCTCTCTCCTTCCAGTTCGTGCCAATCTCATCCCCAGCCCTCCCACCTACAACTCTGACTACGGCTACATCAGCTGGGAGGCCTACGCCAACGTCAGCTACTACACCCGCGTCCTCCCGCCCGTGCCGGACAACTGCCCGACACCCATGGGGACCAAAGGTAGGCGGCTGGCCCGGGGGGGCTGGCACTGTGTGGTGCCAGGTGTGGGGCTGAGTTGCTGGAGTAGCACCCTGAGTCCGTTCCCGGCGCAGCATCATTGTTTTCCACCCGCCTGTGCCCGAGCTTTCGCTGACGCGGACACATCTGCGAGGTGCCGCTGGCGCTGTCCTGCCCGAGCTGGTCCCATGGGCAGGAGGAGCTTGATGGCATCTGAAACGCTGCTGGGACAGCTCAGGTTGGGCTGCTGGGGCATGTCGGAGTCTGTGAAAGAGGGCTGTAAAGTGTCTGTGCAGACGAGTCAGTGCCTGGTGCTGCAGCAGACACCGCAGCGCTCGCCAGCAGCCCCACGGCCAGTGCTGGTACCCGGCCGGGTCAGCGCG